CGGGAGTGAGATTTTCCTGCACAGAGGTGGGAAACAGGTCAATCGACTGAACCATATGGCATGGGGGACCGGTCCAGAGGTCCCGGTCTAAGCTTCCAAAACGTCAAACAGCTCCATACAACCAAGGCGGTCTTTCCTTTCGCATCTCCTGCTCAAAGCAAGCAGATTTGGGGGAGAGGCGGCAATAGCCTTTCTCCTCCTTCCTTTCTCGTCGTCTTTATTTTCTTGTTGTCCCCTAGCTAGGTCTATTTATATGTTTGTTTTCTGAGTTTAGAGGAAGTATTCTGCTGTGTTTGATTTCAGATTTTCTGTGTGGAGTCTTCTTCCCCTTCGAGGGTTGTATCCAATGATTAGGGTGGTGATCCGGTTGTATCTCTCTCCCCGGTGGTGATTGTATCTTCTTTATTCTTGTTTTCAGTGGTCTACTTGTTGTCCAGCACCTTCCTGCAGCCCAAAACCGCCCGCACCTTTGCTAGATCGTTGTCAACCCACCCACCCTTGTTGTCGCCGCCCCAAAACAGCTAACCTTTGTTGTTCCTGTCATTTCTGCCCCCAAGTTCTTGATGTATCTGCACAGGAGAGCCAGCCCTCTAGCAGTTCTTGTCGTTTTCTCGCCTCACCTTCGCAGTTGCCACCCCAGCTAATCATCCTGATCCACCTAGCAACCTCCACCGCCCTTGGGATGCACTCTCAAAATGTTTGTTGTGTCGTCGTTTTATATGCTGTTTTATGTGTTGGTGATGTTATTTTCAGTTTGTGTGTGTTGTAACCCTATTTCCCTATTAATAAAAGTTATTCTTTTGTGGTTTGTGTTTTCTCCTCCGACATCATATACTAATATTAAAAATTATGCATAGTGAAGACTAAAATTATCGAAGAATATCATTTAAAAAATTAATAGATGAAAATCTTATAATTAAATTTTTTATCATGTTGTCAACTCTGAATGTGTACCTCAATTAATATTTTTACCATGTTGCCAATGAGCCCTAGAGCTATGCTTGAGCAAGGGTTGTAATTTGAGCTAGAAACTAAAATTGAGCAGGCTCAAAATCCAAATTTAATGTTGAATCGAAGTAATGAGATTAATTATGCAACTATACATTTTTTATAAATTGAAATTGAACCTTACAACATATATAAACTTCAATTGCAATTAGAATTTAAATCAAGCTTTAATTGTGAATCTAAACTTCCAATGGAAGTTGAATCTATCCTTGCATATGAATTTGATGTTATGTCTGATTGTGTCAATCAATTGGACACTAAAAGCCCTCAATTTTGTCAATCAAGCTTAAGGGTGAGTTTACTTAGAAAGTACGCAGGGTGACCCCCTCTATTGGGACAAATTTTTTTTACATGTACCGAGCACCGTAGCACCTAGCTGTGGCCCCTGAAAATTACTCTTTGCTATAGCTATGGATGCTCATAATAGACATTTAAAGGAGGATGTAATTTGGTGTATGTTTTTTGTTGATGATATCCTTCTTGTGGATAAGACTAGAGAAAGAGTTCAAAAGAGTCTAGAGAAAGAGTTCAAGAAAAACTTGAATTATGGATGTCTACTTTAGAGTCTAAAGACCATCATCTGAAGACCATCATTTGAGCAGATCTAAAACTGAATACATGGAATGTAATTTAGTAGTAGTAGATCTAGTGGCAGCGTTGTAACAATTGGTGATCAAATCATTAAAAGGAGTTAACGTTTTAAATATCTCAGGGCTAATGTTCAAAGTGACGGTGATATAAATGAGGATGTTATTAGTAGAATTCAAGTTGGATGGTTGAAGTGGAGGAAAGCATCAGACTAATAGTGTGATAGAAAAGTACCGCTTAGACTTGAGGAAAATTTTATAAGATATTAGTGAGACCTACAATATTTTATGGCGCAGAATGTTGTCCTATAAAAGAGAAGTATAAACTAAGTTTTACTAAGATGAGAATGCTTAAGTGGATCAATAGCTTTACACTTAAAGACAAATGAGAAACAAATATATCTGTGAAATGATTGGTGTAGCTTCAATGACAGACAAGACTAGAGAGAGTCGTCATACATGATTTGCTCATGTTAAATGCAGACCATCTGATGATCCAGTTAGGAGAGCAGATGTTCTAGATTCGACTTATGTTAAAAAAGGTAAAGGTAGGCATAAAATGACTTGGGCATGTTGTATAAAAAATAATCTTAATTTATAGAATGAAATGAAAATATGACACTCAATAGGACATTATGGAGAAAAATGATTCATATAGCCGACCCTACTTAGTGGGATAAAG